TCATCATATAATTATGAATGGAATAAATCTCACCTCAACATGCAATCATGCATGGAAAAAAGCCCACCACAACATTCAACCATGCGTGCGAAAATGTTTTCCATTCAATTATTTCACTTATATTCAATATTATTTTTACAACTATACATAATCAAATATAATAAGTCATATGTATTTTAAATTTAGGTTCTCATGTCCTATATAAACCCAATTTTTCACCAACCAATTCCCGCAACAATGCGCAGAGTATTCTCTAGTTTCAATACTAGGTTGCGACATGTGTGAAACCACCACCACATATTCATCCACTGTCTCCTATCAGTCGGATGTTTAAGCCCCTCCGCTGATGGGTTTTTTTCTTCTAAGAAGTACCCAGATCTATTAAAAAGGTTCATAAGAAGCGCAAAGCATCCTAAAACATCATAAAAATTACAATGAGGATCTTGCACCACCGAACGAGCACTTCGCTCTCGTCGCCCCCTACTAGAGCCGGCTTGACCTTGTCGATGATAGCTGGGAAGTCTTAGTGCACGTGCCCCTAAGGACCAGTGCCCCAGAGTGGCAATCGTCGTCATTGAAACCTTTGAATTGATCTGAAGTGCTTGATAACAAATCTCGCGGGGGCATACACATGGCGAGAAATCCTAACCTCGCCGCTCTAATGAGGCAGTAAGAATCTATGCTAGAGCTCTGTCGACTCCATCCTAAAGGACAAACTAGAGGAGTATCGGAGCCTGGAAGAACAACTTGAAGATGAAGGGCCGACATCCGCCCGGAAGCCGCCCCATGCAAGAAAAAAAACCTAGCCTAAACTACTAGCCAGAGCCGAGGCACCGAGATCCTCTTCCCCACCACCGTTCGCCTAAGCGACATGTAAAGGGGGGTGGATCCACGGGCTCGCCGACAAAGCTTGGAGGGGATGAGTGCCCTGGCCGTTGGAGACGATAGGTAGAGAGAAACGCTAACTTTGGGGCAGTTTACATGTGATCTACCCAAAAACGCTCTATCGATGGATTTGACGTGACTAAAAAAGTAAGTGGTCAGTCTGGGGCTGTTTGGTTTACGACTAAGGTTATTTTATGTTGCCACACCTAAGATTAGACATGACTATCTATATCCGACAATGGGCGGTGACGTAGACTTAACAAGACGAACAAGATAGCCCGGTGAGCAATTTAGAGCACCCATAGCGTCTGGTTTTTGCTTTCTCTACTAAGACTTCTCTCTCCTCTTAGAGGCGGCCTCCATACATTGCAACCCTGGTTTTTGCTCAAAATAGCATCATCTCTTAGCAGTGAGGCAACCTCTAAGAAATAACGAAATTGAGGCAGGGAGGGACTGTGGTGTGTCAAGAAACTTGTTTTCTAAACCTGTTGGTAGGGTCCATCTATAAGGCAACGTGTGGGACCTAGCATAGAGACAATGCTGCCTCACACATTGTAGATGCCCAATCACCCCTGCTGCAGTCCAAGAAAACGTCATTCAATTCACTAATCAAAGATTACACAGTTTGAGACTCCATTGAAGAAGCTGGCTTGCAAGGCAAGAAGGAGTAGGAATTAAGGGCGTGTTTGGTTGCCTGCATATGGCCCATCCTGGCCCGCGCGGGAAGAACTTGACCCATTTGGTTGCCTGCGTTTACTATGCGGCCCACATGGCACGGAACTTAAAGCACGTCCAGGCCAGGCCCAGGGAAACGCCCGAATCAGTAGTAGCTCGCGAGCCTGGCAAGCGAGGCAGGGGAGGCGACGCGCTTCTCTCCTCGTGCGACCAGGGAGATGGCTGAGCTCGCCCGCGTCACCGAAAAATCCGCGGGAGGATTTTGGCTCACCTCCCGCCGAGTCCACCCCTATTTAGCCCCTTTCCTCACCGCCCCAACTCCCACCACCATTCTCCCTCCCTTCGAGCTTTCTCGCCAACGCGCATCGGCACCGACAAGAAGGTAAGTGGTGCATCTTCATCGACTGGCGGTCCACAGCGTCGGCGCTCCTTCACCGACCGGCGGTGATCTTCTACGACCGCCCCCCTCGTCCTTGAGCTGCAGCCATGGCATCTGTGAGTTCAATCCCCCTTTCTCTCTGTTCCTTCTAGCTAGATCTGAGCTGCAACTAGGTTTTGATTTAGATGCATGGTTGATTAGTGGTCTGAACTGTGAGATCATATGGTTGATTGCTATGCTGCGGTTGAAATTTGTGGTAAGGCTAGATGTTCAAGCATGTGGTAGGCTAGATTAGTAGTAGAGTTTGAAGTTGAACCTTGTGCTTGTGTTGATTCGTGCTTAGATCTGTGATTTGTAGCTATTGGTGGTCCATTTGTATCATGTTGTTTGTTGTAGATGTATGTTCGTGCTCATAGATTGTCCGGTATGCTTAGTATGATAGCGATGAACCATGTGCTTAGTATGATAGTGATGAAGCATGTGCTTGCTATGATAGTGATGAACCATGTAGATGTATGCTCCTGCTTTCATGGATTGTCCGGTATGTTGTGTGCTATACTTATTGTCAATGCATGCTACGATTGTAGGTCATGACCACGCAGACACAGGATCTTAGTCAGGCCCTTGTCCTGTTCGACAGCCAGTTTGCTCCATCGTTTGTCGAGGACTCGCAGCCTATGTCCGAGATGGCACCTGATTCAGAGGTGTTCGTGTCTGATTCCCTCTATGTGCCAGTAGTGCTCGTTGAGCCAACTTCTGATGTTGCTGCTGCCGCTGCACTCAAGGTAGCAATAGCAAAGGCAAATAAGGATGATAGGTCGAACAACATGAAATGGCAGCCATTCATGTTCACGTTCGTGCTGAATAAGATGTGTGATCTCATCTCTAGTGGAGTTAGGACTGACAAGGGCTTCAAGGAGGTGCACTTGAACACCGTTGCGAAGCAGGTGTTCGAGTTCTGTGGGCAGGGGGTGTCTTCCACCCAGGTGTACAACCGCCTGAGGAGGTGGAGAGGTCGATGGATCCAAGTGTCCAAGCTGAGAGACCTTAGCGGCGCCTCATGGGATGAGAACACTTGCTCCATAGTTCTGGAGGCAGAGCACTACGCCAGCCATGTCGCGGTTAGCTCACAACCCTCTTCCTTTTCATACTGTCCACCCTTGCCTACTCCTAATCGCAACTAACAACACTTGTGTTTCATTCTTAGGACCACTCAAGAGACGCTGAGTTCCTCAACACACCCATACAGAACTACAGCCAGATGCATCACATCTTCTCCTTCAGGCTGGCAAGTGGGAAGCATGCAATGGGCTCAGGGGAGCCTCTTGGTTCTCCCATGCTAGACTTCCCCGGGACCCCGGACGTCGAGGTCCTTGATGGCCCTGACAAGCCCTTCGTGAAGCCCTTCAACAAGCCATTTGACCCCGTCCATTATAGGAAGAGGAAGAGAGGAGGCCTGATGGAGTAGGAGATCAATGTCTTTTGCAGCATGACTGATGCGGTGAAGGAGGTGGCAACAGCCATCAGGGAGTGCAAGCCCCTCGGCGTCCATTCGGACATGTATGGCGCTGTCATGACCTAGGGTGGCTTCAGCGACGAGGCTCTCATGGCAGCTCTCAGCCACCTGCTTGACAACAAGGCCCAGGGTGTTGGGTTTGTTGCCATGGCAGACGCTCACAGGGTGCTGTGGCCCAGGGACTGGCTGGGTAGGCACTACTACTAGAGTAGTGCTGCCTGTGAGTGTGCATGATCCCCGACGGCGATGGCGGTGGCGACGACGACGACGATCACGACGTACATTTTGTGTAGCTAGGGCTGAAAAACTATTTGATGGTTTGTATATTTTGGTGAGGTGGTATATACTAACCCCTCACGCTGATGGTGAACTTGCGGTGGTAGGACGACACCCTCTTTTAGATGTGGTGGTAGGTTAACACCAAGGTAGTGCTAGGTAGAACTTGCTATATCGTATGATCATGCATGCTTTACTTCTTCTCTTCTGCTCCATTGTTGTTTGTGTGCTGTTTTGGTTGCTACTTGTGTGCTTCGTTGATTTGCTGCTTCAACTCTTGCTCTTGTGCATTGCTAGGGTGTTCATCGGTAAGGCTCCAGGGGTTTATAGTTCATGGGAAAAAGTCAGTGCACAAGTGGCATCGTATAGCAACAGCAGCCATAGAGGGTTCAAGACTAGGCAGGCGGCAGAACAAGCTTACTCCGACTGAGTGCGAAAGCACGGAGGCAGCAGTGTCGACAGTGACAAGGTTGAAGGTGTCAATGTGGAAGGCGCTAAGGTGGATCGTCAGTTTGGCTGAAGCTGAAGAACTTCATCATCTTCGCCCAGTTCATCGCCATTGCTGTGTTGTGGCGTTGGTGTGCTAGGTGTGATCATTATGGGTAAGCTCACCAACTAGGGTACAAGGTAAGCACACCATGTACGCCGTATGCAATCAAACGCCGTGTTCATGTGCCGCTTGGGCCAATGCAAGCAACCAAATAAAGTGCACTTGCGTATTACCTAATGCAGGAACACTAGATGCAGGCAACCAAACAACTTACACATGACCCATTAGGCATGTTTGTGCTTAACCAGGCTGGGTTGGGAAATGTATACGATGCAGAAACTGTTCACAACTTGAACCAAACACGTCCTAAACACCTCTAGGCCCATCTCAGTCTGAGATTCTCAGACTAGAGTTCTAGTACTTGCACACTTGTGCACATGCGTGGTGCAGGCGTCGGGGACAACAGGCAGGACCGTTGGCAGCGGGGGGCAGAGCAAGGCTGGACAATCGTATTCCTACCTGGCCGCTGTCGTCGCCCGTCAGCACTCGAGGGGGAACCTCAATCATTCCCCATTCGATCTCCCCTCCCGTGCTGGCTGCCAGCCTTCGCAGACGGGGAAAACAAAACCAATCTCATTTGTTTCACGTTTCGTCAGTTTTTTTGGCTAGTTTGACCACCACTCCACCAGGAGGCAGCAGCGCAACGCACGCAACGCAACGGCACGAAGCACAACCCGGCGGTCTCTGTCGCACCCTGCGCCCGCGGCAGGGAAAGGCATATGCCTCAGACGGCCTCGGCAATTATTCTCTCCCCTCCCTCCCAAGTCGCTCCCTCCGGCCGATTCCCCGATTACGATTAGCAAAACCACACACCTCAGCCAAGCCAAGCCAAGCCACCAAGTCGTCAGTCCACCACGCCTCACCGCGGGGGAGAACGAACCCGATTCGATTCGATTCGATTCCATCCCCCCGTCTCCGCTCGTCCGTTGTACGACCTCCTCAGCTGGGGGCTGCTACCCCCGCTCCGATTCCTCCCGTTTTCTCCGCGGCCGCTGCCCGGTCCACCACGTCGTCGTCGCCTCGCGCCTCGGTGCCGGTCGCGCCGGCGGCACGCGTGCTGCTGCTTCCACGCGTCGCCGCCTCGCAGCGTGGGCGCCAAGGCGAGGCGGGGGGCGGAGGCCGGGCTTGGAGGAAGGATAGGGGGCACGGCACGGCTGGGAGGAGTAGTACACGCCACGGCGGGCCGGCGTTGTATAATTCGTGCGGTGGTGGCGCGCTGAGCTGGGGCGTCGGCTGCGCTGGTGCGGGTCAGCAGAGCAGGAGGATGGGGCAGGCTCCGGAGATGGCGGCGCCGCTGCTCCTGCAGGTGGAGGACGCGGACGCCGGATGGAGCTCCAGGCCGCATCGCATTGCTCTCTTCGTCGAGCCTTCGCCCTTCGCGTCAGTCTCCTCCTCCCTCCTCCTCCCCTTCCAAGTGTTTGCGCACAGGGCGCTGGCCGGATTATAGTGTGCTAGATTGGATCAGATCAGATCGAGATGCTCTGCACAATTGGGTCGCTGGATGCATGATTTGTTAAATTTGACGCGTCTTTGATCTACCAAGAACTCCCGAGTCAATGCATTTTTCATTGTTGCTGTGTCGCAGCTATATCTCCGGCTACAAGAACCGGTTCCAGAACTTCATCAAGCATCTGCGAGAGATGGGCGATGAGGTATCCAACCCTTGTTACCAATCTTGTCGCTGCTTGACTTGACTTGTACTGTTTTCAAGATCGTTGTCCTACCTCGGAATTGACGCCTGCTTACTCGGTTCAGGTCTTGGTCGTGACCACGCACAAAGGAGCTCCCGAGGAGTTCCATGGAGCAAAGGTCATTGGCTCGTGGAGGTAATCATCCAGCACAAACTATCGTCATCCTCTACCTTAGCGATCACTCCACTCCAGAAATACCAAACGATTCCAAAAACTACTTTGCTGAAAGCACAGAACGCAGAAAATACGATGGAACATTTTCAGAGGAGTGTCCCGTAATCAACTGCCATGCTGACTAGAACATTTGCTAGATATATTGTGAAACGGATGTTATATTTATTTTCAAGTATTTGTCCTAGTCAACTTTCTAAATTTGGAATGTCGTCAGAATTCAGTTTGTGGAAAACTTCTTCATGTTGCATGTACTTCGGTTACCTAAGCACCTCCTTTTCAGCTTTCCATGTCCATTGTACCAAAATGTTCCACTCTCGTTGGCATTGAGCCCCAGAATATTTTCTGCCGTGTCAAAGTTCAAGCCAGACATAATCCATGCTACTTCACCTGGAGTTATGGTAACTGTCAAAAACTCAATATTCATCCATTGCCCTTTGCCCTGTGGTTTCTCATTACCACATATCGTGATTTCAGGTTTTTGGCGCCCTTGCTATCGCAAAGATGATTTCAGTTCCAATGGTGATGTCTTATCACACACATCTTCCAGCGTGAGTTTCTTTTCCTCTGCTAGGTGCCACCTGGTTCAGGGTTGTTAAGAGAATTGCACCTTTGAATTGATTTCTTGTAACGGCTTCCAGGTACTTACCAGGGTACAATTTAAATTGGTTACTTGGACCCACATGGGGCCTTATAAGTAAGCCCATTGTCATCACTTCTATTATGTTCTGTACAAAAGTGTGAAGCTGAGAATAAAATAAAACTGATCTTTCTCACTTAGTTTGTGCTGACATTCTTATTTTGTTTCAAAGGATGTCTCCACAGGTCTGCAGATCTTACTCTCGTTCCTTCAGTAGCTATTGCCGAGGACTTTGAAACTGCTAAAGTAGTACCAGGTTAAACAATCAAAATAAATCACTATATATACATTTCAACCCTTCGTCTATCCTAACCATACCCACTTGCCTCTGCAGCAAACAGAGTACGGCTTTGGAACAAGGGTGTTGATTCTGAAAGCTTCCATCCTAAATTTCGGAGGCATGAAATGCGGATCAAGTTGAGGTATCTCCTGTTGCTTCAAATTCAACAAGGAAAGGGTTGAAGAAGACAACAAACAGCTTATTGATTTTTCTTTTCGTCTCCTGTCAGCGGTGGTGAACCAGAAAAACCATTGATAATTCACGTGGGCCGTTTTGGGCGTGAAAAGAATTTGGATTTTCTAAAGAGGTTAGCTTTTCCCATACACAGGATATACCGTCATTATTAGAAATAGTGACAATTTGAACTACATGGAAGTAAAATGGATAGGTATATTTTGCATCCATGATATTTAGGTATCATTCTATAGTAGCTGTTTTTTGCTGCTTATGGCTGTTAAAAACTGCGATACTATAATTTTCCTTTTGTATGATCAACTTTATCAGCTGTCCCTATGTAGCATTTTAGCTTCAAGAGTGCTCAGGATATTACTTCTGCTATCTTGATTTTTTTTGGTAGCAAAGTGAACACTTCATGTTAGCATTACTTAAACCTTTCCTGTCTGTAGAGTATGTGTTTGCTACACGAGTGTCATTTTTCTGTGTTGTTAGTGCTTTACTTATTTGAATTGTTAATACAGAGTTATGGAAAAGCTCCCCGGAGTAAGAATTGCTTTTGTTGGAGATGGACCATACAGGTGAGTCATTTGTCCAACTGTTAACTATTTGCTGTTTTCAGTAAGACACAAACCTGATGACATATGTGCTTACGTTCATCAGCAACTACCCGGTATTGAAAGAACATAATCTGGAGAACTTTATTCTTATCTTTTCACACTTCCAACGTACTCCCTCCGTCCCAAATAACGATTGTTGATTTAGTACAAAGTTAGTAGGAGTACAACTTTGTACTAAATCAGCGACACTTATTTTGGGGCAGAGGGAGTATATGCTAATTCACATACTATTATGGCGCTGCTAGAAGGAGGGCGCGAGAGGGCCGGCCGGGGGCCTTTTTGCCCACGGCCGGGTAAGAGGGAAGGGATTTCCTTCTTAATTCTTGCTTGATTAGATTGATACATCTCCTCTCTTTATATAGAGAGGTTTATTTGACTCCCAAGCAAGGTTTACTTGACCCCTAAGCAAGCGACCCTTATCTCTAATTAACCCTAATACTAACGGGCCCATTAGGCCCATGACGTACTCTAACACTACACCCCACCTGGACATGCAGCTTGTCCTCGAGCTGCAGCCTAACCAACTTATAACCATGACTCGACGCAACACAAACCTAACACCTAAAAACAAGTCTTTTACATCTTGGCTTGTTTTATTATTCTCAACCTGAAATGGACTGGGATGCTTTATTTTGGACCCCTTAACAAAAAGTGGACACCATCCGCACGTCGGACGTGCACGTGTACAGCCACCTGGATCCCATGGACACCATCTGGACAAAAGGAGTGCATGTGTATGGCCACCTGGAAGTGGTCGCAAGAGTAACCAGCAGAGGCGCCCTCGCGGCGGTCAGCGGCGGAAAGCAGTGGTGCTACGCGGTGCGCTCTTGTCGGTGACACCCTGCCTTCTCCCCGCCGGACGGCTGTTGGTCTGCACCGCACAGGGAAGAGTGGAGGGCTTGCGATGGAGAATGACGAGGAAGGGTGCGCCCCCCCAACCGCCGATGTTGCAGACTTTGAGGTCGCTGCCCGCGGGGAAAACAGCATGCCCGCAGCCCGTGGGGGAAACCGCATGCCCAAGATCCCCGACGCAGCGGACGAGATCGAGATCCTTTGCGCAGCGAAGGGCAACTTGGAGGAGCAGCAGCTGCAGACCACGCATCTCCCGCACACGCCGACGCGCTAGGAGGCCGCGCGCAGCAGCCTGCAGCCTCACCGCCGCTGACACGTGGCGGGTAGCGATACAAGACAAACGGTGACGGCGACGGCGGGGACTTGATCTGCTGGATGTGGACGCCCTAGGATGGCGGCGACGCTGATGGGAACGAGGTCGTCGCACTCCCGTCGTAGGGCATCCCATACTGGGCGGCGGAGCTGACCGGCGGTGGCTGCCGCGGCAGAGCGCCGGGCGCGGTGGAGGCCGCCAGGAGCGGCGGCTGCCACTGCAGCCAGGGCTGGGCGGTGGTGGCGATGGATGGCAGCTGCAGCGGCCCGGCGAGCACGGCGAAGGCCGCCTGGTGCGGTGGCTGCCACGGCAGCCACAGCGGCGCGGGGGCGGCGATGGGCGGAGCAGCCGGGTGCGGCCCGTAGGACCCGGCCAAGAACAGGCGGATCTCCTGGACCTCCTGGGTTAGGTCCCGCAGCACCCTGGACACCTCCTCCCAGGTAAGGACGGTGGGGGTGGGCGCGACGGAGGATCCCGACGATGGTAGGAGCTGGGCGACGGTCGTGGTGGTCGCCGGAGGCGACAAGGTGACCGGCAGTGGAAGAGACGGACTTGGCGGCGGTGAAGACATGACCGAACCGAAGCTAGCTGATACCAAATTGTTATGGCGCTGCTAGAAGGATGGCGCGAGAGGGCCGGCCGGGGGCCTTTTTGCCCACGGCCGGGCAAGAGGGAAGGGATTTCCTTCTTAATTCTTGCTTGATTAGATTGATACATCTCCTCTCTTTATATAGAGAGGTTTACTTGACTCCCAAGCAAGGTTTACTTGACCCCTAAGCAAGCGACCCTTATCTCTAATTAACCCTAATACTAACGGGCCCATTAGGCCCATGACGTACTCTAACGCATACCATATATATGTAAAAAAAAAAGTCTCAAGTGGTCAAGCTTATCTTCACTCCTGACTGAGTTGTGAGAAGATGGCCTTGTCACAAGTTGCGGATTAGTATTCCTTTTTTCTGTTTCTTTGAGTTAATTGTATACATGGTTTCGCCTGAGGGTTTGTTTCTTCAGTAAGTTAGAAACTCAGGGTAGTACTGAACAAGATACTTCTGGACTAAGCAAGTAAGTTAATGCAGCCAGTAATTAAATGTACCACATGTCCACAAACAATAACAATGCTTAAATACCAAATGAGAACATGGTATGCTTTTATTTGCAATGAGCACTAAGCAAGTGATAACCAACTTATTGTGCTCGGCCATCTGTTTGACCCCATGCGGTTTCCTCTTCAATTCTGGAGACGTTTACACCATATGTTTATCTTGGCAGGGCTGAGCTGGAAAAAATGTTCACAGGTATGCCTGTAGTTTTCACCGGAATGCTCCAAGGCGAGGAGCTCTCGCAGGCGTATGCCAGTGGGGACGTATTTGCAATGCCTTCAGAGTCTGAGACGCTCGGACAAGTAGTGCTGGAGTCCATGGCTTCTGGAGTCCCGGTTGTCGCTGCTCGCGCCGGAGGCATACCTGATATAATACCCAAGGACAAGGAGGGCAAGACCAGCTTCCTCTTCACACCCGGGGATCTCGACGAGTGCATGAGGAAGATCGAACAGCTCCTGTTGTCGAAAGACCTCAGGGAGTCGGTCGGAAGGGCTGCCAGAGAGGAGATGGAGAACTGCGACTGGAGAACGGCCTCGAAGACGATACGCAACGAGCACTACAGCACCGCGACGTTGTACTGGCAGAAGAAGACGGGCAGAACGGGGTAGGCGGCGCTTATCCAGCCAGGCACTCCGTTTGCTGCCCTGTCTACTGTTATACTACAACCAAAGGATTTGTACATTGTACCCAGCAGCAGCTTGCGAGCTTGTGTGGCTTGCTGCACCCGTATGTCCACAGTTACGGATGATTGACCGGCCGCTTGTATGCAGTTCCCGTACATTACAAAGTTCTTTGAAATTGGCCATTTCTGTCGTACTGCTAGTCTGTTTCTACTAATTATGTACTCCCTCCGATTCGGAATTACTTGTATTCTAGATACATCCATTTCCGAGACAAGTAATTCCGAACGGAGGGAGTAATAAGGTTGACGCAAGGCTTCTCTAATCTTCCAATGCATTAACCCATTCGATTCTTCAAGTTAAAGATTTCGAAACCACTGGCCTTTCTTCCAGGTACTAAACAGAAGATAAGCTGATAGGCTTAAACAGCAGCGCTACCGCTGTCGATAATTTTAACAGTACTTGGCCAACAAGAAACACACAAGGAAATATAAAACTCACACCAAATGTTTTAAGATGTAATGTACACGTCAAAGCGATGCTCACAAAATAGTTTCCACAGGGCATATACACTTCAGTTTCCCAGAAAAAAACAGGGCACATACACTGCCGGAGCAGATTCTCCTTTCCAAAGCTCTGCATACACAACTGACAGTTCCCTCAGGCTTAAAAAAATAAGACAGTTCCTCAGCAGCATGTGATATGCCTCTGTCGACAACTTGTTGGCATTTGACATACACAAAATCAGTTAAATACAAAGGCCAATGACTGTCATGATTCTCACAAAGACTGAAAGTTTCAGAGAAGTTACTATTGCAGACGCAAGCGGTCTCATTGCCAATTCAGAAATATGGGCAACGGGTAAATCATGGAGGAGAAGCCATTAGCTGTAGCCCCGATCTGAAGCAGTGCAATCATTCGTCTTGGAGCACGATCATCAGTTCTCCGCCTTGACTGAGAACGCTGTCCAGGAATGCAATTAGTTTTTCTTTGCACTGAAACTGCTTGGCCGACGGAAGATCGCTGTCCAAATTAAACCAGATGCCATCAATGCTTCGAATTGCTACCCAATGCCTGCCGGTCCACAGACCCCTTAACCTCCTGACGGGTACATTGATCATCAGCCCTACCAGCGCTTCCGCATCCAGATCTATCGAAGATGCCCCCTTCCGATGATCATGCCAAACTACCTTCTTCTTTCTAGATTCTACCGCCGCGATAAGAACATTTACATCATAGTTCCCTGTTAATGCATTGTGGTGGGGCTTCCAAATCAACGATAGAGGAGTCCATCTCTCCTTGTTTGGATCAGTAAGAACAAGGTTTTCAGCAATCCCATCCAGCTCAGCTCGGGTGAACGATTCTTTTTCCTGAACCACACACAACACAATCATGGTAAGCCCAGATTAAATAAGGTGGCGTCAGAGCGAAGAGACCGACTATGCAGTGCATGATAAGATCATGCTACCTGTATATATGTTGATGAGTGAAAGTGCCAATCAGTTACCTCTCCGAGGATTAAGTTATTGTAATATTTTTTTCATACTGATTATTACTCCCTCCGTCCCGTAATGTAAGACGTTTTTTGACACTACACTAGTGTCAAAAAACGTCCTACATTATGGGACGGAGGGAGTAGATGATAAGAAATGAAAGCCAATCAGGCAGCAGCATAAATGCTTGTTATTGCCGTGTGATCTTGGCCTCTTGCACTCACATGGCCGCAAGCGTGCACAGCTTGCTTTCCCAAATTCATGTCAACGTCAATTTGAAACGTCATTGTGAAACTTGACAAAGACCAAAATATTTGTTTTTATCCCTATCAGCTACCAATTCATGATTCACGCGCACAACTGGCAAAGCCTTCATTGTATTCGGTGGACAGGGGGCTGCAAAACGGGTGAACCACACCCACCCATAAACGTATCGACAAAACTAATGACGAACAGTGCCCACTGAATGGACCAACAGTTGACAGAGGGACCTCAATTGCTGTCTATTTCTACGGACCGAGAAGGAACATCTTTACATACTTCAATATATGCCCTGATCTTTCACCACTGCGTAAGTTGTGACAAGTTGGAAACAATCACACAAAAAACATGCCCACCCAGGGCACAACGCTCCGCGACTACAACAATCTGTAGCTTCACGCCGAGTAATTTCAGTACTTAGTTCGCAGATGTGGGTGCTGACTGACTGCCGATGTCCTTTGATGGGAACAATCAGGCTAACAAGAAAGCACGAGAGATAGAATCTAATTTGTTGGACTCAATTACTAAACTTAGGATTACACAAAGTTCTAAGTGCAGCTACGAGAACCATGACAAGAACATAGTAGCGCGACTAAGCAAGAGAGGAGAAGGGTCACCTGCATAAGGTTGTTGAGGGCGTGGAGGAGGCAGAACTGCATCCTTTGCCTCTCGTGGTACACCTTGCTGCCGCTGCTGCTTCCCGCCGGGGCCGGCCCTTCCTCGTCTGGCTTTGCTTCCGATCTGGCTCCCGACTCCATGCTGCCGCGATTGATACCGGGGCAGCGGGGGATTGGCCGGATGGCGGCGGATTCCTTCCCTTATCTCACGGCCGCACCAAACAGACGCACGGCTTCTGCGCCGCCGCCACGACTGATGCCTGCCTTTCGTCGTGGACGCAACAATAAACAACCGAACAGAAAGGTTTTTTTTTTTGACGGGGAACAGAAAGGGGATTAGCACCGCCCGACCGGCCCGAGTTGATTTTCGGTCATGTGGGCTGTTTCGGCTTTCCGGGGATTCTTTAGGTTAAATTAAAAGAGGTCATTGTCTTTCTCGCGAACACGCAAAGCTTGCGTATCATTTTATTGATAGAAGAAAGCGAATTGAGTACAGAAGATGGTTACAAAACATGACATGAACGCGAGAAGGCATGAGCATGGAACCCAGAGTAGAGACAATGGATGCTCAACCCGAATAGGAAAAAGACACAACTAAACCCACCAAGCGTAGAACTAGTGAGGCAAGCCAGACTAGCAAGACGTCAAACATCTTCAAATCCAACACCGGGGACGCCGCGAATTAGCAAGATAGCGCCTTCAAGAAGGGGAATGACATAGTTACGCCGCCGCTATCCGATCCAGAGAACCGGATCTAGGGTTTCCCCCGATACTCGTAGAGGGGCACAAATAAAGGCCATGGCAGCGCCTTCAGAAAGGGAAACGACACCCACAAGTGCCGCCGCTGCCCGCATCGGCAAGCCGAGCAAGGATTTCGCCTGGCCTTAGTTCGAGCAATCCCATTGCCGCCAGATGAGGATCCAAAGATGAAGAAGTCAACATGCCAGACGACCGCTGCCACGGAAGGGGGCAAGGTGGGGCTGCACCTGCCACCGTCGAAAAACGCGAGCTTTGGAGCCGGCATGGCATGGGGAGTGGACGGGGTCGGGAAGGCAGCGGGCAGAGAGTTGATGCGGAGGGATGGTGGTGGCCGATGCCGCTAGCAAGCCAGGAACCGGAAGGAGACGCAGATCCTGACTGCGAGAGACGTGGCCGCCAGAACACCGGCAAGCCAAAGTAGCTGGAAGGGACGCAGCTACCGGAGCGTCGAGGCCGAAAATTCACACCAGCATAGCACCGACAGGCCATGAACACTGGAGAACGCAGGTTCGTGGCCGCCGAGACTGGAGTGATGTCGACGGGGATCCACCGCAAAGCTCTGACCGACTGCCAAGAGAGACCACCATGACCAAACATGCGCAGAGGCCGCCACCGCCGCTTGGAGGAGGCGCCGTCGGAGACGAAGGGTGGTCAGCGTCTGAGCAGGACCAAACCCCGGCCAGGCCAGCCACGGGCGTGGCCGCGCCGCCGCATCAGACGGG